ACAGCAGGTCTGTGTCGGTGAGGGTCTTGAGAGGGATGGGATACCTGTGAGGCTTAAAAATGCTGGTCCTGGTTCCATGCACAGTGTGCCACAGATGTGTGAGTCACTAGTTGGGATATGCCTGTTCACACGTATGTTTTAAAGTAGGTTCTCACCGCTGGTTGACAGGTCCAAGTAAGAAAATTAAAGTAATCCCAGCTCCCACCCAACCGTCCACAGCGTCCCCCTCACCTGCAGTAGCCGGTCCTGCTCCTTCTGCCACCGCTCCTGTCGCTTCCGCTCCTCGTCTTGATCCCACGCCCAGCGGCTCGGGGCACTGATCGTGGGGACTGGAAGCTAATGGGTTAGAAGAGAGGGCGTGAACACAGAGGGAGAGTGCGTATCATTAAATCGTCCACTGGACCACTTTTGCATAACAGGGTATTACAAAAAAATTTTTTTAACTTTAGTTGGCAATATACCCAACCACCCATACAGCCATTCAGAGTCTCCCCGTGGAGAGTTCAAGGTCAGTGGTTCTAGCCTCCATACCGGGTCACCCTCTTCCGTTATTTCTGCCCACAGCGTCATCCTCATTCAATTCGCTTATCTATTTCAAGCTCTCCTCTGTGCTTTCATTGAATTGTTTTCCATTTGATCTCATCGTATGATTGTCCTGTGAGCCTTTCAGGGATGGATTGGTTTGACCTTGCAATTTCTTTCTATATTTCCCTTGAATGTTTTCAAAAAGAACCGGGTAAAACCAAAAAAGGGGAAACCGAAAAAAAAAGGGAACGGCCAAAAAAAAAACCTTAAAAAGAAAAAACAACGGAAGCAAAAAATCCTTAACAAAGGAACCAAAACGGTGGTTCAATCAAAGAAAAAAATTAAAAAAAAACAAAAGTTGAATAAAAAAAAAGGTAAGAAAAAATAAATTGAGAAGTTGGGGTCAAGGGTTTAAAGATTATTCCAGGCATTAGAATTAAGGCCTCAATGGATCCAATAAGTCTGGCTTCCACTGAATTTTAAGTTAGTTCTGTTCTCTGCTTTTCCTCCTCTCGTTCAGGACCCATCTGGTGGATTTGTCATCAATACAGTTTGCTAAGGGCAGCCAGCTGGGAACCAGTCATTTCTTCTTCTCTTCAGGCCATGGGGGGAGTCATTTATGAAGGCAACCAAGCGTACTGTCCATCTCCTGAACATGGAGAAACGATCATACACTACACTTGGTTCAAAGAGTGTTGTTGTTGTCAGGTGCCATCGAGTCTGTTCCGACTCAAAGCGGCGACCCCAGGTTCCACAGAACAAAACACTGCCCAGTCCCCTCTGTCTTTCTTTAAAGCAGCGCTTCTCAACCTGTGGGTTGCAACCCCTTTGGGGTCGAACCACCCTCTCACACGGGTCGCCCAATACATCCTGCATATCAGATATTTACATTACGATTCATAACAGCAGCAAAAGTACAGTTATAAAAGTAGCAACAAAAATCATTTTATGGTTTGGGGGGTCACAATAACATGAGGAACTGAATTAAAGGGTCGCGGCATTAGGAAGGTTAAGAACCACTGCTTTAGAAAGGGAAAGTTACATAACATTTCAAATGTAGGCTTTTCAACTTGGAAGTGCTACTATTTGATTAACTCCTAGGAGACCTGAAAGAACGATAATGTATAATGAATGTCTCTAGAGAAAGCGCACGCCTATCAAGTTCTCTTTGTTCCAAACAAGTGATTACTACTTACATCAGGAACCACAGAATCGGCACTTCCTGTATTGAAGCAGGCAGGCAAGGAAGAAGAAACAGAAAAGAGTGTAAGTCTCAGAATCTCTGTAAAATATCCCCCATGAAAGTTTGATCACTAGCTGGCTCTGCACCAGCTTATTACATGGCAATTTTTTTTTTTTTAAGCAGCAATGAATTCTTGCTGTTGCTTTTCATCTGTTTGCTACTCTTCTCTCGAACTTACAGCCGGTAAGAAGTAGATAAACCCCGGTTAACAGTCAGATACAAAGCTGCGCCCCTGGTACCTACAACTTTACTTTTTGTAAACTACATCTATCTACTAATCTGGAGCCATGACCTCTTTCTGAAGAGCTTTCAGGGTCCTTGGACTCATAAAATTGATTAAGATATCAGAGACTGGCTTAGTAGAAGGGGGGGGAATTTAAAAGGTAAAAAAAACAAAGGCAAAGTGGCCTTTTGCCAACCAACAACCAAGTAAAAAAGGAAAAGGGCCAACCGCCTGTTTTCAAGCCTCCTGCCGCCAAAACCCCTGCAACAATAAAACCAATGCAACAAAAAGGTTCCAGAAACTGTTCTTAACACGCTCCTATTATCTGAGACACAAATGTTCAAACTTCACGTGTAAATGTACAGGCACAGTTTGATTTTTTTTTTTTAATCCTTAGGGGGGCCCAGATCCTTGTGGCTGCCTGTACAGCATATGGTGACTACCCAAAAAGGAGACACACGTCAGAGAACGCACTGTCACACAGTACTGTTAAATTTTCCTGAAACATCAGCTGTCATCAAATAAATTATTCACACACACCATTGTGTTTTTAAGAAAATAGCTTTGAAACATAGGAACAGGGTTGTCCCTAAAATAGCCTGTGATCGAAAAGGTTGTGCAAATTAGAAATAGCGAAAGAAAGGGCTTGTCTTCTGTCAGCAAATTTGAGTCAGAAGTATCCTATTGTTTTAGTTGCATTATCATAGCAAAGCAAGCATTGAAACAGAAAAAGGAAACATTCAGGATACTGACACACAGGCCTGGTGCATGCATAGCTGGTACGCTATTATATCTACAGTAAAAAATAACAATCATAAAATCAGACCCCTGAACGCACCAGAGGAAAACCCTCGGTGGTTAACACAAAATACTCAAATCCAGTTACTGTCAGCGTGCAAGGCAAGCTTGTAAAATGATGACATCATCTTAAAGGTACGACATAGTACAATTTCAGATTGCAACCGCACACTGGCCTCTAACCATACTGTGGCATCTCAAATGTTAGCTATGACGTATCAGTTCCTGAGGGCGGAACACGGAGCGTAAACTGCACGGGAGACAGGCTGGTAGGCACACGTGGAAGCCCAGAAAGCCCCATGCACAGCACACGAGAGGCAGCCCTGCCCCGACACCAACACAGAAGCCTGAGAACATCCTAGCGCACGGTGGCCTTTAAGGGTTTTCATTTGCTTCCAACCCAACAGGGCAATCACGTCAGCACTCTAAAAACCATCGACCCAATAGCAGCAAGTGACTCTGCTACTGACTTGGGAGTTTGAGCATTTCTGACAAGCAAAAATCTGCCAGAACGTTTACATGTGGGCCAATTTCATGCCGGTGTAATAATACACAGTTCCTAAGAGGAAGTCAGGCTTACATGAAAGTCCTCCTTTCTTACTGCTAACCAATGGAAAGAAGTGTGTGTTCAATAGCAACTCAGTTTAAAAAGGAAAAACAAAAGCAGAAAAACGTGATACAAAGGACACACGAAAGACCCGTTACCACAGAGGTAGACCCATGAACTGTAAGAAAGCCCTGGTGGCCCTGGGAAAAGAACGGAAATGGGTTATGCTGCTTGGTCGGAAAGACGCCAATCCAAGTGGCCCAGAGCCCAGCACCACAGACCGTGAGGCAGAGTGGAGAGTGGCAACAATTCCATGAAAGTGCATGAATTGTTAACTGAGTGGTTTACCTTGTTCAAAAAATTGTGATCGCCTTTTTAAGTTTTTCAAAGAAATGGGTTCAGATGCTAGTTGAAAAAATACAAAAAACAAAACAAAACAAAAATAAGCAATCAATACCATGTCATTCATTTTTATGATTCACCACTGGATAACCACATGCTGCTTGATACATTTTTTTTCCAGTCTACAGAGCAATATATTATTATTTTTTTAATGACAAAACAGATAGCCAGAGAAGGTAACAGATGACTTCTATGCAAACATAGGCACACGTAGTTTTTAGCCGTCTATACCACATTCAATTAGTACCAGGAGCAAATGTTTCCACTCTTTGGGCATTTGAGCAGGAAGCATCAGAGTCTCCATTAGCGAGAACAATGTATCTTTTGTGCTAGATCACAAAGCTTCAGGGAATCAGAAACATAACATATGTCAGTTTGGGTTAACTGATCCAAAGTCCCTTCTAGTACAAGAGAGTCACTTGCAACGGAGGGGTTTCACAATGTTGAAGAGTAAGGGACTGAGAATTAATGGGAAGAAGGGGTACAAAATAAATGATACCCTAAAAAAGGAACTCCCCCAAATTAAAATAAGCACTAAACTGTGAAACAGCCCTAGTCTTCAAGGTCTTATAAATTGCTATAATTGAAGTAAACGGTGTTAGATCAGATAAAGGGGGAAACTGTTTCTGACTCCTCCCACAATCTGTCACGAGTTGTGGTAAACGATTCCTAACCCTTATTCATGAAACACAATCATCACTTGACCCAAGTTGCAGAATCTGTCTCTCAGCAAGACCGTCAGCCAGAAAGGCCTGCCTATAGTTCCATCACTGTTTTAAAATTACTTTGTTGTTTTGTTTTGATCATTGGCTCTGCCTATGTTGCTGGCATAACAAATGTCTTAGATTTATATCATGAATGAAACTCGGGTGATGTTGGTTGTCAAAAACGTCCTCGCTAAAGGGCTTCAAATAATGAAAATGCGGTTGCTTCTAACAACCAGAAAGGAAGGAGGGAGGAAAGGGGTTGATAAGTAAAGGGAAACGCATAACTTGATGAAGTAAAACTCCACAGGCCACTGTGAAAAGCCAAGCCCAGGGTCAGGTTACCTGTCCCGAGTCTCTTTCCCTGCCGGAGGAGACGCTCTTTTGTACTTATTTTGTGCAGCCAAGGGAGACAGCACACAGTGCTGCAGAAGCTCACTTATTTATTGGCAAACAGGGAAAAAAAGTGGGAATTCCATGACACAAAATTTCCTTAGATCCTGCTTTTTCCGTTACAAATCGGCTCTTGTGTGAACACATTTTGCTTCCATTGGCACGTCCCTCTGAAGTCTACCTGCCTGCAAGCTTGTCCCAGTGACAGCTCTAAAGGGAACTTCACTCACTGCTTCAAATTCAAGGAAGACTCCCTTTGGCAGCACAGCACCGAGAGAAGGGGAGGGGGTGGCCTCTGAAGGCCATCTTTGTTACGTGGCTTTGACACACAGAACTGGGTGATTCAAAACGCGCTGCAGCAGCTGCTAATGCCAGAGCTATTCAATGCTAGAAGGGAGCGCCCTCCCTCCCACCTGGCTGCAATTGGATCTGTGTGCTAACCTTTTCGTTTCAACTTGCAGCGGGATCAGTTTGTCTTTCACTCACAGATATTAATTTTTAGAACAGCTGAACCCCAATGCTATGCTGTACCCGTATTAGAAATAAGAGTATAACGGTGGTGTCTACCTTTTGATTCAAAAGGACTGCTTTCTTCACGAATTCCATTGATTTCTTTGGATTCGGTGTTCTGGAAGAGACAAATACTAATTAACAACATTCTCCCCAGTTGGACATTTACGCTAAAGTCATGTATTTACCGTTAGTGAAAATCAATATCTCCCAACAAGATGAGATTTTCTCTTTGTTTTTTATTTTGTTGGGGTTTTTTTTTCACGATGTTCACACATTGCTTATATAGCCTTTTACATGTAGTAGAAATTAAAATTTTTTAAAATTAGTCTTCAATATTTGTGAAATGATACATGACCAGCTGCAGGCAGGGATGATTTTGGTTTAATTGATCATTAACATTCCAAGAAATATGATGGGTAAAACAAGCACTCATTCATTTGACTTGCCATTATCATTAATCAAAATATTAATTATCTAAGATCCTATAGTATTTAAAGCCTCTTATACAGCCTAGCAGGGTCTCCTTTATTAAATAAAAGTGGCATGCCATGGGGATGATGATATGAAAGGCAACACAAATGTGCCATAACTCATGGATAATTTAAATTTAATTATTAATCTCAATGACCAATTTATGTAATACATGGAAACCACTACTGTAAAAATTGGAATAGGGGGAAAAAAAGCATTGGTTTGATTCTTAGATGATTCTTATTTCTCTCTTTTATAAAGAACTTCAGATGTAATTTGCATGCCATAAAATTCACCCAATGTATAATCATTATTTAATCGATGAATGTAACTGAGTATCTCTTAGCCACACCTGTGAGACTCACCTGGAAAGACAGGAACTGAAAACGCCTCATGAAGTTTAATGACACAGTCACTACATGTATTTTACCAGTAAAGGCTGAAGCAAGCATAGAAAAGCCACGGCCTATAATTTCACAGAAGGACTACTTCACATTCACAAATGAAAATGAGAGAATGGGTATCATTATGAGAGATTGGTGAACAATAATCCCCAAATGACATTATGGGATCTTTTGGATTTTATGATTATATACAGTAATTTTACTCTAATTATGAAGGAGTCACACTTTGCAAAGGGGACTTGGTAGTGAAGTAGTTGACGGCTAGCTCAAAGGTCAGTGGTTCAACCCACCATCTGGTTCTTGAGAGAAAGGGGCGGCAGTCTACTTCCTGAAACAGACAGACAGCCCTGGGCAATTCCACTCAGTCCACGGAGTCACTAGGAGACACGGTCACAAACAACCCCCGGAACTGGTTTGGGTTTGAGCGCCTTATGATGTTCAAAAGCATATATTATACTCAAAACTCAAGTGCCCTTTCTTAGTCATTCATGTTTCAGAGAAAGCAAATGCCTTTCCCATACACAATTCCTACAATTACTCGCTCTACACAGAGGGTCCCCCCACTACTCAAAATCTACTTACATAATGCTGGAGGCTTTCGGAGAAGTCAGTTGTTAGTGACAGATTTGAAGATTGCTCTGAGTTGTAAATTCCAGAAGTTGTGTCAATCCACTTTGTTTCAGGTGAACCTATAATTTTGGTAGCCATACTGGTGAGATTGAGGGTTTGGTGCCGTGTGAATGGCAGGGACGTGTGGTCTGTGCCCCAGTCTGATTGGCGCATGGAGGGAATGAGCACGCACAGATGTTGAAGTGGAAAGAACAGAGTTACTAAGTGCACATGTACAACACAGACATCTACAAGACAGACACGTCAGGTAGCATGTGAAAGAAATGGAGAGTCTAGGTGTTTTGCCAACAGACCACGTTCCCAGCAACACGGGTTAAATCATGTTAATAATAAAGACTAGCAAACTTACTGGACCGAGCAGCAAGTCAAGACCGGATAGTACACGTTGATACTACGACCCTTTACTAGGACTGGAGAAAGTTAATCTAGCCCAGGAACCAAAGGCATCATCATGCTGACATTCAGAAAGAAGGGCCCTTAAGAATCAGTATCAGGAATATGACCCACCACGTTTGGCCCTCACACCAATTACAGACACAGGGCTGCTGAGAAAATGGAATCAAACCGTACTGCTTACTATTGAGGAGTGTCACATGATGTCTGAATGCAGATAAATGACAGCAGTCATCAGTTCGGACTGGCACTCACCGGCCAGAGCGCAGCTGCAGCCCGTAATCGATAGAGAACCCAGTAAATGTGCTAGTCCGAAGAAAGCATAGCTGACCGGACAGTCAAGGAGCCATTTAAGATTAGTCGTAACATAACCACAAAACACCACACCGACCACAATTAAGTCAAATGAACAACAACAACAACAAAGGTTACTGAAGCAAGATGTTATAACCATCTGCCACAAGACCAGTCCCCAGCTGAAGTCAACAGAGCCATTGGTAAAACCTACTCACCAGACTTCCCGTGGCGCCTGACGTCCAAGACCAGGTGTCCAGTCTCCTGCGCATGAGCCATAGCTTCCTCCCACTCTTTTGTGTCCTTATATGAAAACTTGGTGTTGTTAACAGAAATAATTTCATCATCTACCTGCAGTTGGGAAAACTCCGCCGGACTGCCTAAAGGATGCAAAGCCAATGAAACAACCTGCTTTTAGAACATGGTCTCCAGGTCCCCGCGTACTTGCATCAAGGAAAGATGAATTTCAACTGATCGCTGTGTTGTGTATTTCAGTTGCAAGTGGAGGAGATGCGCTGGATTTCTAGGCAAGTTCACCCATACTTACTACGTGTACAACGCCTTGCTAACATTGATGCTCGTCTGCGCAGCCCAATTCATGGAGGGCCTTCCAAAGACGAGGACACACCTAGCTTTTTCTAAACGTAAAAATAGATTTTTAAAACTCTTTCATGTGATATATGAGCGCTTTAATTAAGCTTCCAGATCTACAATCACTCTGGAATAGAGCAGAAGAAAGCAAGCGCTCTTAAAACTGCTCGAAATTGCTGCTCTCACAAAATACCACCGTCTCATTAAAGCCACTTTGAAATTTAAAAGGGATAATTAATCCCTGTGAGCATGAAAATTCATGTACCTAAATATGAAAATCGGGAAATTCCCCCCCAAACACAGCAGCTGTCCCTTTCACTGTAGGCCTTGGGGTCAGCTTGACTCGCATTAACCTTGGACGTGAGCGGAATAAATAATCCTTTAGCAAAAATCCGAAAGCATCCTGAAATGCCTTCAACCAGAGAACGATTAGAAGGCTCAAAAACATCTCTTCAAAAACGATTAGAAGGCTCAATGTTTGGGTGAGAAGGCTCACAAACAACAGCAGCACATATATACTCCCAAACGCATGACTGAACGTAAAACATTCCTTCCGGAGCTCTTTGAAGCACTACTCGTATCTGTTCCCATTGCCAGAGATTAAGCCTCAAACACATTGGCAATCCTCGAAATGCCAGAAAAGGAAGCCTGGGAGATTAACATGGATGTGGTGAGGAGAATGGACCACTTTGTCACCAGTCACCCTCTCTCTCAATAAGAAGGTCTTCATCTCTTCACCTTACACACACACGCACTCCTCCAGGAGAAAATGACCCCTTCTCGGGGGCTTGGTCCACACACACCTCAAGATAATAATACCAAAGGAGAAGAGAATTCAGCAGAGCCAAAGCTAAAGAGTTACCTGCTTCAACTGATGCTACGAAGATCCCGGAAAAGTCCCATTTCACCGTAAACCCAAAGTCAAGGCTGTTCCCAGGCGTCTGGTTTATGCTGATTCTCATATCGCTGAACTGATCCTGAAAACAAAACATGAGACGGTGGTATCAAGTGTCGCTGGCACCCACAGGGAAGAAAGTCTATCCACAAAAGAAGGGCAGCTGCCTGCAAGGTACCCTGGAAATCATGTCTCCATCAGTCAGAAGCTTCATTCCCTTTTTCCATCAGTGAGCAGAAGCCTCCACTTGTATAAGTAACAGGCTTCATTTTCTTTGTTGATAATAAAGGAACTCTTCAAGCCCATCGGAGTTTATCCTCCCATAAATACGGTACATCATTTTACCCATGTAGAAAGCATAAACTCTAACGACCACGCAGTCACAGGGGTAATTTGTCCCTGGCCCAAGAAGGCTGTGGAGTGCTTGAATGCATTGATGGAAAAAAAAAAAATCCAGGATAGGTAAATCTAGGGAGACAGTTACTGGATAAATGGTTTCTTGAGGATACACAGGGGAGGTTGGGGCAAATAGGGTGCTAATAACAATAAGCACAAAAAAGAAGAAAATGTCCTAAAACAGATTGTGGTGGTGATTGTACAACTCTTCTTAATGTGACTGAACTCTTGAATTGTATGATATGTGGATTATATGACAATAAAACTGTTAAAAAATAATGCTGCCAGGCTTAAAAAAAAAAACTGTCTGCAATTTTTAATCTATTTAGCTGAGTCCTTCCAGGTACCGTTTAGACCTAGGAGCCTGGTGGCTCAGCCTGGCAGCTGGAAGGCTGCGGTTCTAACTCACCAGCCACTCTGAGGAAGAGAGATGAGGCTGTCCACACTCATGAAGATGCGCAGTCTCAGAAACCCTAAGGAGCCGTCCGGCTCTGTGGTTGCCCACGAGACAGCATGGACTAGACGGCAGTGGTGGGTTCAGACATACAATGTAACAAGTAGTGCTCGTCTAGGGCTACTGCTGTCCCCCTACATCCCCCCCACCCCAGTATGCTCACACGCACTGCCACTGAGTCCAGGCCCACGCAGAGCGACAGGGCAGAACTGCCCCTGTGGGCTTCTGAGACGAACTCTTTCTGGGAGCAGAAAGCCCCATCCTTCTCCCACGGAGCAGCTGGGGCTTTTGAACCGCTGACCTTAAGGATCACAGTCCAGTGCTGAACCACTATGCCACCAGGGTGCCTCCCATCCCAGTGGGCTTTGCCCCATTGCTCTGTGGGGACCCAGCAGTTGAGGCACAGGCCAGTGCTGCCAAATGAGAACCCTGTGGGTCACCGGTGAGAAACCCACCCCAAGAGACCGAGAGGAGTCCCGATGAGGCATCCTGAGAGCAACAAACACTGTAGTGCCAACAAGTGGACAGAAAGGGGGGAAGAATAGAGTCCCTTATCCACAAACACTAACCTACAGATGTACGTTTCCCTAAATCAATACCAGCCTCTTGGATGGCAAGGAGAAATCTACTGCCAGTTCCATCCTCAAATGGCACAGCAACGACATTTTGGATGTTACCACACACTCCCTTAAACCATTTTCCAAACCAGGTGCTTTAAGGTTGGCACGCTTCTCTGCCTGTGGAAATGTGCATCCTCTTTCATAGTTACAGACTCAAGTTGTGTGTTTAGGTAAGCAACACCTATGGCTCTGAACACGCAGGCTTTCCCCAGACTTGTGTCTTAGTGCTTTGCTTCACACGCATAAAGAATTCAGACTTATCTAGTTAAAAGCAAAAACAAAACACGTGCCCCAACCCACCCCACCACGGGAAACCTCACTTCTTCTTAAATGCACTTTACTTTCCAAATAAAGACCCAACCCTACTCCACTTTAAGTTGGCAGTCAAACTCAAATCTAGGACCAACTGGGCAACTCAGAAAGCTTCCTGCCTAAGTTTTTCCAACTATAAAACCGCTTTGAAATGCTGGTGGAATTATTCTGAGATAAATGAGGCTGGTTTATAAGGGTTAGATGGAAGAAGCGAAATGCTATGCATATGCAGAGAAGTTGAGTGCTCCGGCACTCTACACGCATCCATATAATTTAACAGACACTGATGATACATCTGTTCCGGGTGGTGCGTGACCAGGAACTAACCCCGAGGGTGGAAGCTGGAGCCGACTCAGTGATGCTGTGGAAGAAAGTCCTGACAGCCTGCTTCCATAAAGAGGTTAAAGCCAATACACCGCCAGGGAGCACCAGCCACTTGCATCTATGACACACGGGACCCTCACCTGAGTCAGAATGAACCCGATGGTCACGCGTTTGATTTCCCTTTGTGACTTATTCTGTATAAGACAACATGCAAGGCATCTGAGGAAAGAATATGAATTAGGCATGGTCCTTTCCTTGCAGGAACTCATTACTGACTCTTCTACACGGAGTTGATTGGAGGAGAAAGAAAGGGAGTGCGGGAGTTTATGGTCACTATAGAAATGGCTCTCCCAGAGAGCTTTCTCGTAAAGCAGTTTCAAAGGAGAACCCAGATGAAGGCGCTCAGACACCCATTAATAGTCAGCCTGGTGAAGGCTCATTCCGAAAAGATAATAAAACGCTGCTAAGAATAGCAAAACGTACTGCTTAGCTCTACTCGTTCACCCAAACCACCATATACTTAAATTAGAGCTGACGCAAAAAGAAGTGGTCATTTTCCCCACTCTGACCAAAAGAAAGAAAAAAGAAAGGCAAGAAAATTAGACTTGAAAACCAATAAAAACGCAAAACCTACTGCTGTTTGAGGACAGAGCGAAAAATGATGGGTTTGATATTCAAGATACTAATTGAGGTTTGTTTTTTTAGCTTGACGAATAAAATGTTGGATGGAGTTTTAATAAACTGTCTCAAACTACATAAAGAATACTTTGTGGGAGATGGCAAGGGAGCCTTATCCTTTTCTACCAGAAATAGGATAAAAGTGAATGCATTTAAACCACCGATGGAAGAGTTTCACAATTTTATTAGACCAGAAGAATACCACGAAGGGCTACCCTGGCCTCAGGAATCAAGAAATCCCTATGTGAACATGTTCAACAGCAGGAGTTAAGAACCGCCCGTCTGGAATGATGAGTAAGAATCAGCTCCCCAAAGCTACAGCCTAGTGGGACTGTGCAAAGACAATGGCGTGGAACTATATGGTGTGCAATTACAGCTCAGTATCCGTCAACAGGAGCCCTGGTGGTGCGGTGGTAAAGCGCTCAGCCATCAACCAAAAGGTCCACGGTGGGAAGTGGCAGCCACTCCCCGTGGGCGTGAAGGTGTGGCAGTCTGCTTCTATAGAGATCAGGACAGTTCCACCCTTAGCCTATAGGATTGTTATGAGTCCACATGAACTTGGTGGCAATGGATTGGACTTGGGTTTGGCATCGGTCTACTTTAGGTGTGTTCCCCAGGCTGCCGGATGTCCAAGCTTTGGGTTTTCAAAACCTGCTTTGAAATAAAATCTTCTGCAATTTAAATAAATCCTTCTCCAAATTTAAAAGATGTCAGTGGAGTGGCTCTAGGTTTAGGGCAGGGATGGGGAACATGCAGTCATGGGCCACAGAAGGCCCACACAATCATCAGGACCAGCTCCCATCACACGCCTCACCAAAGAGAAGCCGGCTTGTTCCAGCCATCCCATGAGGGTTGAGCAGATTAAAGTTTTCATAAAGTGTGTGGTTGTATTGTTAGGTTCTGATTCATAGCAAGCCTGTGGACAACAGAATGAAACACTGCCTGGTCTTGCACCAGCTTCACAGTTATTTTTCATGTTTGAGCCTGTTGTGGCAGCCACTGTGTCAATCCATCATGGAGAGAGCCTTCCGCCTTTTCCCTGCCCCTCTACGTCACCTAGCATGATGTCCTTCTCCAAGGATCCCCCGACAACAGGTGCAGAGGACATGAGATGGAGTCTCACCACTCTTGTCTCTAAGGCGTGTTCTGACAAAATATAGCGGGCTAATTTTTAAGTTAATAACTTTGTATGGCCCTCCTAAAAAAATGTTATACCTATCCAAGGCACCCTTACGGGCCCTTGGCAGAAAAGGGAAAGCTTACTTCAATTGATAAAATGAAACGAAAAGCTAAGCATCAATTTGGGCTGTGAAATAGCACATCAACCTTGAATGTGTGTACCCGTGGCTCCCCAGCCCCCTGCCCCCCGGGTCTCAGTGGGATGAGAACATGAAGCGCAAAGACCTCAGACAGGACCCTTGCCTAATACTCAAAGCTGCTTTCCAAGACCAGACCCACTCCTGCGTACCAACTTTCTCCACGCGTTGATATCCTCCCTCCTCCAGTCCAAGGAGGCAGAGAGGTTTCCATCACTATTGATTTTCTCAGCCCACTCCAACCTCATCTCCCTATTAATCTATATTCAGTACTCTTCCTAGGAGGCACGTCCATGTCCAGCATTGCTTCCTACCACATCTAGCCTTTCCCCTCAACACTGCCATCCCCCGAAGTCATCCGTGATCCTACTGTTCTTCCCTTGCCCTCCCTTTCTCGGGCCACTTCTCTAGTTCATCGGGGTGCTCTTCCCCTTCTGTGCCAGAGTCAATCTTCTCCTTGACTCCATCACTTCCCCTAGTCACCTCACACTCACCTGCCACCGCTTTAACTCCGGTCGAGTTGGACAGCTCCAAATCTAAACTCACGGCCTTCTTGCCCAAACCTGCTCTTCCACTTCTTGTTTTTCACATCATGATCTAACCAGTTCTCTGAGTTGGAATCCACTCCCCACGCCCACGCCCACCCTGGTTCTTTCTGGAATTCTCCCTGTGGTGGTTATATAATTTCATATCAACTTGAAGACATATAAAAGAGTAGGAGTAGTATTCAACCTGTCCATCAGGTCACAGCCTGAAGGTACCTCCTTGTGGGAGTGGCCTTCTCATAAGGAGGGTCCTGGGAGCCTCCCCTTCTCTCTTTGCCTTCACCTTTCTTCTGGCTGATGCTGAGTGCTGCCAGAGCTCAGTGATGCTTCCACTGACATTGGATCCACGTGACTCTGTATCTACTGGCCAGTGATCTTCCTGCATTCTGCATCATGACATGTAGCTGTGTGTTCAAAGAGGGACTGATGGACAAGTA